ATGAGAATAAAAATTAATCTGTAGAAAATATTCAACTAATAGCTATGTCCACTTTCGTTTGTCCGTCATCGGATTTCTAAATACATTAAGAACCGACTTTGGCAGTGAAATTAATATAGCTAATATTCTTTTAAAGTTGAAAATAAATCCTCAATTAATTTTAAGATGTTTTCACTATCTTGAATCAATTGTTTGAATAATGGTGTCGAATACCAGTTCCACTCTTTCGATATGTAAGCAATATCTCTATCTTCTACTTTCATAGTAAGTTTTTAATTTTCAAAACTAATATTTCAAAACGGAAATTTTAAGTATTTTCATGATCAATTATGACTCTGCTTTCGCACGCTGTCAGAACTGATGGTTCAGATTTCTAAGTTTGATACCGCCCTCGTAGGTGCATAAATAGTATCTCTTTATTTATACTTTTGTAGCAAACATTTTCCATCATTTGCACATAAATTACAAAACAGAATTATTCTCATTATATTTAATCTAATTGAGCATTTCATATGAACTTTAATGGAATACGGTCCTCGTGTTTTTGAATACTAGATAAATCTACTTAGACATTGTAAAATCGGTAATTAAATAACAAACATTCACTGCATAAATAATAAAATTCAACAAATAAAAAGAACATGTGAAGTGAATAAAAGCTGAAACTTGCATAAAAAATTGCTCCAAAGAGCGGTACAACAATAAAATTGAAATAATAAAAAAAAGTTAACAACAACGATAACAAAATGGAAAAGCATAGCAACAAACTAACTTAAATAAGGTAGAAAATAAATTGGCATAAACACCCCAATGCGGGATCTTTATACTTTAATTAGTGAATGTATGGCTAAATGTAAGCTCAAATTCTCAAATCGATCAACTAAGGTCTTATTTATAGTGTAAAATTCGTACAAGAACTACTAAAAACACGCAAAGTGAGTGGAAAAAATGGTGGAGAAACTACTGATACTGGTACAATTTTCTAGGCATTGATGTCATGAGGGGCGTCAATTGGGCTAACGACCTACCCATAATGACCTCTTTAGAGGAATCCTAGATCGTGACCATGATAGGCGTCAGTGGGCTGACGGCCTGCCCATCATGGCATGTTGACTTGCCTTCCTTGTTTCTTTAAATTTTAGCATTGACGGCATGGCCTAGAACTTGCTTGACACCCGTCGTGACTGGGCTGTTAGTCAGGATAGTGGGGAGCTTAGAAAAACTTGTCATTTATGCCATTTTCCATCATTTTACCGCGCATAGACCTCTAACTGCCTAGTACCTAAAATACACACATAATACCAACATAAAACCACACAAATGAATGAATCTGCCCTAAAACGAGTGTGAATCAAGACAATTAAATGATACTTTTTTACATGTTATCAATATTCAAATAAAAATATTTTTAAATAATATGTTTGAGTGAAGTAATTGATTATTTTTTAAGAATTTATAATTTTAAATAAAATAAATGATTCAATTATATATTTTACTTGTAAAAAAATTTGGATTGTAGTTTAATACCTCTTGAATATGTATGTATTTTGTTATATATATATATATATATATATATATATATATATATATATATATATATATATATATATATATATATATATATATATATATATATATATATATATATATATATATATATATATATATATATATATATATATATATATATATATATATATATATATATATATATATATATATATATATATATATATATATATATATATATATATATATATATATATATATATATATATATATATATATATATATATATATATATATATATATATATATATATATATATATATATATATAACAAAATACATACATGATATTTTCAATAAATATGAATAAAAGTAAATATTTATTTATAATAGTTAGAAAATATATTTAATAATATTAGTAAAGAACTTTCTTTAACAAAACAATAATTATTTTTGTACTATTTATTTTTTCATTTTTCATGATATTTTAAATATTGTTTAATTAAATAATAATAAAAAATGTTATAACTTTCTTATATATTTTCATTATATGGAAATATAAGAGAAATATATAAGACAAACAAATTAAAATGTTGTCTAAAGAGTTGCATGTATAAATAACACATGCATAATTTATGGATCCCCTCGCGCAACTTATTATTATGTTTGACTAATAGATCAACATATTTATTTTTTTCTCTAAGAGTATGAATGATTGATACTTATCAATCATATTTTTTATAAATAATGAAATAGTAATGGCAAACGAGCATGCTCATTCATTTAAATTTGACCATGTAAAAAATAAGACGAGAAGGAATGAACATAGTTGAAAGTGAAAGTGTATGTCTAAAATTTTATCTTGTTTTGCAAAGCAAAGTGGGATGGAGTCAAGCCTGTTTTTTTTTTTTTTATAAATTTTTTCAAGAAAAATAATATATAGATAATGGTCAATTTTAAATCAATAGCTAATTAGAAATGAAACAACAAGTGTTGATACAATATCTTAAGTGAACATAATAAAATTCAAATAAACTATGTATCACATAATCAAAATCATTAAAGATGAGTAGGAGTGGCACCCTACAAAAACCCTAAAAGACTTTGTTTAGATTCATCCCACAAATAAAATTATGTTTAAATCTATCTTGCAAAAGCTCAAAAAAAGGTGTGAAAAGAGGATCCACAAACAAAAAATAAAAAGAGGATGGAACAGCACAAACATACTGACTTTGCATTTACAAAGGCTACAAATTACAAATATTTTTATTAATGCTTGCTCATGTTTGTAAAATTTCTTAAAAAGCAAGACACGACATATAAACATTAGATGATGCATGTTTAAAACGTGTATCCGCCCAAAAAAATATGAGCAAAAACATATCTAATAACTTAAAAATAAGACATCCGAAATTCACTTAAACATACATATATAATATTTTTTCCATCTAAATTTGAAATAAAACACAGTCATTATTATTTGTTTAACTTTTTATATATATTTACGTTCCTTTATTTATTAATATCAATCAATTCAATAATTTGAATTCTATAAATTTAATTATTTAATAAAGTATATTCTTATATTCTACAAACATATTATTACATTTATTTTGTTAACAGGAGATACTCTCATTTTTTTATAATATAACTTTTCAAAATTTAAATATAATTTTCAATTATTTATATAGTATAAGAAAAACAATAAAATAATAAAAGAAACATGAGAGAACACAATAGAAAAAACAAAGTATAACAATTCACTCCAAAGACAAAAAAAAAACAAAGATACAAAATTAGAAGAAATTAAATGTAAACATATAATTTGATATAAATTAAAATAGAATAAAGAGTTAATAATTAATTTGTCTCCTGTTATATGGACGGATTTGTAAAAGAAAATTAAATTTTTATCTAATATTTGAAGATTTTACTATTTTGACTTCTCTTATAATCTAATAAACAAAATCTTTAACGTGATAATATTTTTTTTAATTTTTAATTATGTGAATGACTTAGTTGGTATTTTTTTATTATTTTAAATGACAATTTATCATTTTATTTTAAAATTGTAAAAGATGTAAAAGGGTGAAGTTAGATCCACGACCTATTTGTCCTATGCAAAGGGAATTACTACTAAACTAACTCATTTTCTTTGATTTATACTTCTATCGAAATGTATATATAGTAACATATGTTAAATATAATGTAACTATTTCATATTAAATATATTGTAAATGCATATGTTTATTTAGTTAATAATATATATTTTACTATAACTATTTCATATTAAATATATACTATAACTATTTCATATTATTTATTAGTTAATAATACATAATTTATAATATTAAATATTCTATAAATATATTAACTATATAAATATATAATATATAATATTTAATAAAGTTAATTGTTATGCATTGTTAGTGTAAAAAAATTTATACCATCACTACATCATAATTATTTATTGGTATTACTTTTTAAATTGTTAAAATTAAAGGCAAATTTTTCAGACAAATCAACGGTTGTGATTAACTGACAGTGTAAAAAAATTTATACTGTCAATATATATCAATTAAATTCATATTTAATATTACATATTTATTTATTGTAAAATCAAAACAATATAAAGTTAACTAATAAATTAATATTGAATATTGAATATTTATTATTAATGTATTTAAATAATGAATTAAAATATTTAAATAAATCAAAAATAAATATTTAAATAATAAATTAATAATATAAATAAACAAAAATATTTACAGTAAATAAATTATTTTAGATTTATTTATTATTTTAGATAATATTGATTATTTATTTATTTATTATTTTATATTTTATATTTTAAAAATAATATTGATTATTTATTTATTATTTTAGATATATTATAATATACATAATATATTTTAAATATACATTGTAATAAATAATAAACAAATATATCTAAAATATATATTTTAACTATATATTTATTTTGTTAACAGAAGATACTCTCATATTTTTATAATATAATTTTGAATTGTTTATAAAATGTAAGAAAAACAATAAAATAATAAAAGAAACATGAGAGAACACAATAGTAAAAACAAAATATAATCATTCACTCCAAAGACAAAAAAAAAAAAGTAAATCTACAAAATTAGAAGAAATCAAATGTAAGCATATAACTTGATATAAATCAAAATAGAATAAACAAAATAAATCATAATAATGTTTTCTATATAGATAAAAAAACATTAAAAGCGTGAGGAGCATTATGTGTAGTGTACGCGCTAAACGCAAGAGAGTAAAGAGCTGGATACAGCTAAAGAGAGACTCGTTAGAATGTTGCAATCTCTCTCTCTTAATTCTCTCTCTAATTTTCTCTCTCTATATTTCTACTTATTACTTCTTCTACTTAATCAACACTTTAGTTAACCCAAAAAACACACTCTCTCTATCTATATCTCTCTTCACCGACAGTATTATTTTCCCCAAACAACTACCATGACAGATCGAGTATACCCCGCCGCCAAACCCACCACCACCGCCAACGGAAACGGCGTATCCACCGCCAACCCATCTTTTCCAGCCACAAAGGCCCAACTCTACGGCGCCTCTCGCCCAACCTACCGTCCTCAACCCCATCACCGCCGTACCCGCCGCCGTTGCTGCTGCACTTTCTTCTTCTACCTCCTCCTCATCATCCTCATCCTCCTCCTCGTCATCGGCATCGCCGGCACTGCCTTCTACCTAATCTACCGTCCCCACCGTCCTTCCTTCACCGTCACTTCCCTCAAACTCTCCTACCTCAACCTCACATCTTCCTCCACTCTCAACTCAAAATTCAACGTCAACATCACCGCCAAAAACCCCAACAAAGAAATCACCTTCGTCTACCAACCCACCTCAGTTCAAATTCTCTCCAACGAAATCGATGTCGGCGACGGAACAATCCCCTCTTTCAAACATAACAAGAAGAACACCACTCTGCTAAAAGCTTCCATTCTGACTAAAGGAGCGCCACTAGAGAGCGACGCCGCCACAGAGTTGAAGAAGAACATGAAGAGCAAAAACGGGTTACCGTTGAAAGTGAAATTAGAAACCAAAGTGAAGGCTAAACTGGGAAAATTGAAGACACCTAACGTCAGAATAAGAGTCTCTTGTGACGGAATTCGAGTCCATGTCCCCGCCGGTAAGAAACCGGTACCGGTAACGGCGTCAACGTCGAAGGTTAAATGTGAAGTTGACGTGAGATTTAAGATCTGGAAATGGACCGTTTAATTTATGAAGTAAACAAACCCATGTGGAAGAAGAACACATGACATTATCATAGTCAATAGAGGTGTGTTGTGTTTTTTGTTTTTTTAATTTTTTTTTCTTTTGGCTTTTTTGTTTTTATTTATTTATTTTGTGGTTTTTATTTTGGTATAATTTGTTCATAATTCATATTCATAATTGTATTATTACATAAACGCTTGTAAATGGCGACAAAGACTAGTTGAGTTTCAGTGGGTGACAGTTGTATGCTAGTCTATTTTTCTTTAGAAATATATTTGTATTTTTTCTAATTTATTTATTTTTGTGTATTTTAGTTTATTTATATGCTCTAACGGAAAGCCTATCTGTCATTGTCTTTTTGGTTTATGATATTAAAAATGAAAGGGCAGCATTTGCTAAAATATCGATTATTTAAAGCAAAAGTTAAGATATAAGTATTGCTGGACGATTTGAATTGTATATATGTCTGGCGCACGAAAATACCAAAAATGGTTATAGCTCTGGTGATATGTTAAGGGAGGAGACTAGATTTTCTCTAAACACTTGTCATTGTCAAAAGTTTACACAGATGTTGTTAGACAAATTAATGGTAACATAAATGTCATATTATTAGAATCGTGAACGAATTATATTTTTATATTTCATGCATTATCGAAAGTGTAACATGTACATGTAAAAGCGGCCCATTAGATTATAGACTCGAAGTTTGGTGTCAGTACACGAAATTGGATGATACTTTTAATTTAGTTCTTTTTTGCATTGTTTTTTTCTTATAAATGATAAGTTACAACTTTGTGAGTGTTTACTGTTGACGAGAACTACATTTTGATTTCTCGTCATTACAATTAATCTTAAAAACAACTTATATTCCGATAACGCAAATAAATCCATTTGTTTCACCATAGATAATGTAGTAGTAGAAAACGATACTTATCGTTTGGTCTCTGTGAGATTCGATATCTTTTATATTAAAATTGACAAAGTCGTGCACTCGTAGACGTGTCAAGTTTTGACATTGTTGCGGGGGACCAATAAAATCTTTATCATACTTCATTATTACATCGTCTAGACTAAGGCAAATCTTTGCTTTTATTTCATTTTCCATGTTATTAGTTGTATGCAAAAGACCCAATCCTCAGGGGAATTAGTTCAATCGGTAGACGAAATCAAGCGTTGGTTGCATATCATATGTTGATTAGAACAACTTCATGCTCAGATGGCTGAAAATAACGATAATCGTCCTCTTAAGGACTTTGTCGTCTCATCCCAAGACGAGCCACACTCGAGTATTGTTAACCCTGTGATCCAGGCTTACAATTTTGAGTTGAAACCCTCTATGCTATAAATCGTGCGCACATAACCGGTTCCTCGGTAGACCAACGGAGGACCTGAATTTGCACCTCTCTATGTTTGAGTAATTCGTCGAAACACAAAAAAGAATTGACGTCAATCCTAAAGCCATTCGATTACGCTTATTTACTTTCTCCCTGACAGATAGAGCTTGAGATTGGATATAGTCTCTCCCATCAAGCTCCATAATGATATGGAATGAGTTAAAGAAAGTGTTCCTTACGAGGTATTTCCCGTCCAGCAAAACTGCTCAATTAAGGAATCAAATCACATGCTTTAAGAAGAATGACAGATAATCACTTTTTTTACCCTCTGGTTCCTAGGGGAAAGGGGCCCTAGTAATCTAGAGTTCGGCTTGAGAGGTCATAAGTTTGGCCAAACATTATTTCCAACAGGAATCGAACTCAGTATTTCCCGAACCTTCACTCCTTAGCAAAATCTCGTTTACCACTCGAGCCCATGTGTTTGGTTACAGTGAATCGCTTTTCAATGCATGAAAGTGATACAAGGAAATGATTAGAGCTTTCCCATACCACGAGCTGGAAAAGTGATTGATTATTCATACATTTTATAATGTTCTTCTTTATACTACGAGAATAACCATTGACGTCGCCGCAGACGGAGCTCTGATGATTAAACCTTTTGCTGACACTTACGCTCTGATCGTGAGTTTGGCTCAGAACCACTATCAATGGGGAAGCTAATGCACTCCAGTTGAGAAAATACAACCCAAGGGAGGTATGTATGAGGTGAGCAATTTCGATCACCTAAACGCTAAAGTAGATGCCCTCACTCAAAATATCGACAACTTGATAATCACCATTGCAGCTATTATAGCCGTCGCGGCTCCTAACTGTGAAATTTAGGGAGTCCCACACATCACTACTTGCTGTCAGTTATTAGCTGAGCCTACTTCAGACCAGGTTAGTTATACGCAAGGAAATCCCTATTCGAACATGTATAATCCTTATTGGAGAAATTATCCAAATTTCTCCTACAAGAATAATAATACTTTGTTTTCCCTACACCCACCACTTCACCTAGTTTCCAAAACCATAAAGGAGACCATGCTACTCCTGTTGCCCACACGAAGTCAAATTTGGAACTAATGATGAAAACTCTGGCTTGTTTAAAACTCGGCAAAATAAAGAGTTTATGAACCAAAATGTGAAGGTGACAAGAAACACAGGAAATTGAGGTTTGAATTGGATTCCTAAGATAAAACTTTTTCGTAAGAACAAAAATAAATGAACACAAATATTTTTATCCTGGTTCACTATTAACTAAGCTAGTCCAGTCCACCTGCCAAAGTGATTTCTCCTTATCAATAAGGACTTAATCCACTATAATCAACTGATTACAGACACATAAAGACTACTCATCAATATCTTATCAAGAATCCTGACTATACCCTAGTCTCTCAAGGAATACAAACTCAATCAATGAGATACAAGAAACATGTTTACAAAGTGTCTTCTAAGAAAACAGATTACACATGTTTAAGTACAATGATGTTATCGCACAAAAACGAACAAAATCTCTATGTGTGTTTTCTTTTCTATATTCACAAGAATATTCAGTTAAATAAAAGTGTGATATAGCGTGAATTAGTGCGAAAGTAACAACTTCCTTCATTTTTCCAAGTGTTCTTTATATAGGAAATGAAAAGATCCTTTGGAGGGTAGAATGAATATTTTCATAGATGAGATGGCACCTTGCACAACGGTCTGCAAAGATGGGAGATAAAATAGTACAATAGTATAGTCCTTATTTTACAAAATCGGCGTAATGGAAGAAATATTTGATATTTATTTTTCTCACGTAAAACCTTTTGATCTTATCTAATAATCTTCAGAGGCTTCTGAATAAATGTTGTTGAAGCATGTTTAGAAGGATCACAATTGAGTAGATAGTCTTCAAGACCTTGTCTTCATAATCTTATCTTCAGAGTCTTCCGAACTTGGTCTTCAGAACTCGAGAGCACAAAATCTTGATAGTTTAATAATCCTTTAAAGGCTCTTCTATCAGAGTCACAGTCAAAAGCTTTAGCACAAACATTATAAGAACTGTTGTTTCAAAGCGTTCCAAAACTTGACATAATCTTGTAAATCAAACTTTTGTATCTCTTCAGAGTCAAAGTGTGTTAAGTCTAAAATCTGATGATGTCACACGTTAAATTCTCAGAATCAAAACTTGTTAGCAAAAGCTACACACTAGACAAAACCATTAGGGTACAAAATTGTTCTCTAAGAAAAAATATATTGTTATCATCAAAACTAAAGGACAGATGCATAACCAAATCTTGTTCTTACAATCTCCCCCTTTTTTATGATGACAAAACCATGTAGTTTAATGAATAATTTTTACTTGGTTAAATCATGTAGATGTTCTTGATTGGCTGTATTTTGTGGTAAAACATTGTTACGCGTGTAGATGTCTTGACTGATGTCATGACATACTTGTGTAGTGTTATGCAAGATATGTTTGTTTAGCTAATACAGAGTTTATTGGATGTCAAGCTGAATGTTGTGACATCAGGTATCTGCCAGCATGGGCGCTGTTTTGTTTTCTGTTAGGTTTCCTACTTTATCTCAGGCTATATTTTAGGAAACGCCTATGGCCTATCTTTTAGCACCTTGAATTGTGGAAATTGGATTAACTTGGTTGAACCTAATTTATGCTACCTAGGCCCATGCGCTGCATATAGAGAAGAGTGGTAATCCTTACTAAAGACTCAGAGATTTTGGTGTGAAGAATTCTGTTTGGGTGTTTATATCTTCACATGTGTTTTTATCTTAGGTTTTCTTATGAGTCAAGAAATTATCACCTTGATGATTGTATTGGACTAGTGTGGTTTTTGAGTGGTGTTTTGGTTGTGTCACTCTAAGCTTTTAAGTAAGAGTGTTATGTCTCTTGATTGAAGCTTTTAAGAAAGATCAAGATTTGTTTGAAGTGTGTCTTCCTTTTGATATGTTCTGTATTTGATTGATATTGTCGCGGTGAAATTTGGATACCAAACTATTAATTAGTTTGAATCTAATTCATTTGCAACCGAACTTTGATTTGTCCAAAGGAATGGATAAAGATCGAATTTCCCACAATGCAATGCAAATGCAAGGTTTAGAGAGTTATAGGTTCGGGGGTTGGTTAAACTTAGGGAAGGTGCTAGCATCCTAAGTTTCTGTAGTACTCTACAGGAACCTCTTGTTTTATGTTTTTTATTGCTAAGTGTTTATCTGCTTAATGGTTGAAAGACCTAGGGGTTTATTTCTAAGTATACTCGATAAGATGTCGCATCTTATGCCTACATATCCTTACGGGAGTGGAATCAAAGTATTTGTAGTTCCCCTAAAGGGTTAGAGGAGTTCTTTGACTGTGGTCAAAGTTCCTACGGGTTTAGGGTAGTTGATTGATTAGGTTTAGGAGAAGAGATGCTTTATCATTTTAAGGGAGATGTAACCGCCACAGGTTGTAGGAAAATAGTCTTTGCATCGTCTTAAGAAAAGGGCCCAAGTACTCGGATTGTTTGACGAGTACGCCTTTATCTCTCTTAAGGCAAATTCCATACATGTTGATTGTATTGTTGTGGGGTGGAGATTCTATCTCACTTAAGATGATTAACATCTTTCTCTAATGTGTTTGAATAATTGTTT